ACCTGGATTATTGAGCAGCATCAGGACACTCAAATAATCCTGCATCTGAATTTATTTTGTTGTGTTTTAAAGCAGTTTTTAGTCCAGAGAAATGTTTGAAACCTGGTCTAATGAGCAGAATGACAACCAAGGTCAGGATAAAGTCCCCATGGACTACATGATGTCTGTGGATGACGAGTAGGGAGCAGGTGGAAGAGAGACTGGAGAGGTGCAGAGGGTTGAAATTTTAAAGAAAAACAAAATAGGCATGTGAAGATCTAGAAAATGTGAAAGGAGCACAGCTCCGCCCACCAAACGACACGATGGAGTCACGGACTGTGTAAAAACATGATCCAATGATGAACAGCCTCAGTAAGACTCAGGCTTTGGGTTGAAGGCCACAAAAAAATTTAACTTTATCTGAACGAGAGCAAAGTGCTGCTGACTTTAGTTTGTTTATTAGATTTGTTTTAAAATAAACAAAACAGATGTTTAATACTTTTAAAGTTCCAGAAGTACAGAAAATTTTACCAAAGCTGGGTGGAAAAACCACAGCAGGACAACAAAACTGTACCGAACTCAAGTAGGAAAAAGTTCAAGTTAAGTTTATTGCCATTCACATCACATGTGAACATGAGGTGGAATTAAATTGTGTACTCAGAGTCCCAGTTACACCCAAAAATAGCAAAAATATAAAGTGTAAAAAGAAACATTATTGTATTTTCCAGCGTACACGTTGCACCGCCGTGTAAGTCACGTCAGTCCAAAAATGTCTAATAAAGTGCAAAAAACATAAATAAGTTGCTTCACTGTATAAGTTACATCTGTTACGTGTCACCGCTAACAACCTGGAAATGTGGGCCGGTGTTGTGCCAAAAATCGATTGGCTGCCAAATGGCGGCCTCGGGAGCGTGCACAGGAGGTCTTTAACAAGAATTTAGCAAGATAACAACCTAAAAACTTTTTTTTTTTGCTCGACATTATAGTAAAGGTGTGTCTCAGTTGAACTTTTCCTTAATAAATGCACTTTAATGGTCAAATCAGCTGCATTTTGCCGGGCGGTGAAATGCAGCTGATTTGACGCAGGAGTTCTGGAGCGAGAAGAACGTAACTTTGTATGGCAAGCCAAGTGTCTCATTAATAGACACTTTTACCTATTAATGAGACGCTTGGCTTACCGTATATGTTGAGGACCCTCTAGTGGCTGAAAATGGTAGTGTTCAATATTTTCCATGTCAAAATGAATGAAATCGTCAGATCTCAGTCAAACATTTGGTTATAAATATGGAAAAAAAAACACAAATACGTTGATTCACTGTATAAGTTACAGGCGTGCTAATTTATGCAAAAAAGTGTGACTTATACAGTGAAATTTATGGTTTATAAGAAGATATACACTAAGATGAACGCTAAACGGTACGCTAAAAGATTTAAAATATAAGCAAAACACTTATTAATGTAAAACAATACAGCGTATCAACAGCAGCAGCAGAAAAATAAATATAATTTACTTTATATCCACATTTTACCTGGGAGGGGTGGGGGACACAGATATTATAAAGTGAGTTGGAGAGCATCCCTCAGAGGTGTTTGGTCTAAAAACTGAACTTAATTAATGGTTTACAAAGACGTTTGCCTTCCACAGACTCAGGATACCAAAAGTTTCATTTGTAGAGATCATCGCAGCTGCTGGTGTTTCTGGCAGCAGAGTGAACGGCTCTTTTCTCTGGAGCTCCATGTCTTTAATAATGAATGCAGAGAAACAGAAGGTCCTATCAAAACTAATGTCTCGCTGCTGGTTTTACCCTCTCAGAACAGCAGGACGGTGGCTGCGACAGAGTTTAGACGGAAAGATGAATTGCTATTTAAATCCAGGCCTACATGCTTGTTTTGCAGCCATCAGGCTGTATGAAAATGTTTTTTATTTCTTAGACTGGAATTAGTAAGAAGTGGAGTTTACCTCCTAATAAACAGAGGTGATATGAAGATTTTCTTCATGAAGATCTACCAGAGAGATGAGGATGACTTTCCTATAGATGGAAACTAATGAGATGTTCTGATATTTTGTTATTTTACTTACAGAAGAACTTAAAGGGTCTCCCTGCAGAAATCAATTCAAACGTTAAAAAGTTCATCCTGAATGGAGCAGTTTGAACGAGTTTACTCCCAGATATGTTTGGAAATTCTGAAACGTGGGTCCACACTCACTGTAAACAAAGCATTCAGCGGAATTAGCTGAAAACCACCTGGAAGCTCGAGTCACATGACCGGGCCGTGGGCCGTGAAGGTAAACGTGTATCAGACGAGCGTAAAGTCTTCTCGAAGACATTTAGGTGGAAATATGAGTGAATCTGCTGCTAAATGTGAAATAAAAAAATAAAATAAGAACGAGTGAGACGGCTGACAAGAATAAACATCGACTGATCTCAGCTGTTGAACACACGACTTGCCGGACCTGTAAGTTTTCAGACACTTCGGCTGTTTCCGTAGGTAAACAAAAAAAAAAAACGTTCGAAGGAAACGGTGACTACGAGAAGGAGCTGATCAAAGGACCGTGCAGAAGTAATGACTTTCAGAGTTCAGGTCCAGTCTTCTGGACTTTACAACGAGTGCCTTTAACCGCTAAAACATGACCAAACTTGTTTTTAACTAAAAATAATGTTTTCAAGTTCAGCAGTAAATAAATTTTGTCCATGTCTTGTTTTTTTTTTGACACGACACTTGCACTGAATAACGAATCGGTGAGTTAAAAGCAGCCGAACGTGACCGGCTCTTATTTTACTTCCTGTGAGTCTGTTGGCGTTCTGCTCATCGCTGACAGAGCAGTGTGCTAATCTGCGCATTTTTACTAACAGTACAGGTGTGTGCATGCGTGATGAACTTCTCCCACCATTCGTCTGTCTCCCCCTCGATACATTTCCAACCTGAGCTCACCCCTTGATTGATCCCCTCCATCCCACAGCCCTGTCGCCATGACAACACTGCGGCTGTAGTCTGATCGACGACTTCACTCGTCCTCCCCGCCTTCTTCCTATTTATTACCCGTCTTTATCCCTCACTTTAGTCCCCATTCATCTTTTTAGGACTCTTCCTTTCTTCTCGTTTTATTTGTTCTTCCAAACTTTCTGTTTCCTGTCTACCTGCTGTCTCTTCTAATCTCCGTGTCTCCACCTCTTTACAACTAAAAAAACAGTTCGGGCTGCTTTAGATCCTGTTCACACCAATGTTTCGTGCTGCTGCTCAGACCACTCTTCCTCTGAATAATCTGCCTCGTTCTGTTGACATAATCCCAGATTACGCTTCGTTCACCCTCTTACTGTGTGCACCTTTTGATTTTTTTAATTAATTAATATTTTCTAAGGTTTTACAACGTCCCCGCTCGAGTCGGTGGGCCTCGTGGCACCGAAGCGCTTAAGTTTCCGTCACAGGAATCAAACTGAAGGCCCATGGGCCAGATATGACCCTGGTTTTATGTGAAGAGCTACGTTTTTTTAATGATGTGTCTGTAATTAGTGTCCAGCAGTCACATCCCAACAAGAGCCAGGCTTCAGGCTGGAGGACGTGTGGTGTCAGTGGGTTGACACATCAGGCATTCAGTGTGTGTACAGTCGCAAACAGAATCTGTATTGAGTCGAGATAAATCCAATTTCAAAAAGAAAACCTCGTCTGAACATCATCCATGCTGGAGGGCTGAGTCCCTCAGTCTGACTTTAACAGTCAGGGCTTTATTTACTGGAGGTTTTCTGCTCCTGGCTATATTAAATTAACATAAAGTCACAGATAAAGATGTTTTTTAACGTTTTACGTGCACGTGTTCTCATCAGTTTTCAGCCGTTTCACTCGAGCATCTTTAGTTTGAACCCTGCGGCGGATCAGAGGGACGTCAGGAGCTCCGAGGGACTTTGTGTGGACATTTTTCTGTTGTTTCTCCGGCAGAACGGTTCTGCGGCCTGTGCGTTTCCTGATGCCTCAGTGACGAGCAAACAAGGAGGATGAACATGTTTCCAAACCAGAAACCCTCTGAGCTCTTTCAGCTTCTGCATGAGCAGCCAGGTTGATCCGCAGGGAAGTCAGAGATTTGAAGAGACGAGCTCGATTAACGATGGAAGTCTCTGACGTGAACAGAACAGCTGGTTTCCACAACACATTTGAAAAGACTGGAAACTGGTTCGTTTTTAGCTTCAAAAGTGTTTGTGTCTTGTGTCGGAGACGGAAGCATGTCCAGTTGTTCGGTCGTGTCCATCGTTGTCACGCAGACCAGACACAAACAGCACCAGGTTTTTCTTCTAACTGAACTCTTATTTTGAAAAGCCGGCAGATGTGTTTTAAAGAATTTATGAACCGTTTCTTTAAATTGGTTTTGTCATTTATTTTACATGTGATGACTCCCTGAAGAGTTTGTTTGTTTGTTTGTAATTTAATCCGCTCTTTATTCAACACAGCCTGTTTTACTTTCGGACGTACTGGAATATGAAAACCACCACAGTTCGTTTGTTGGCACGTCTATGAATGAAAACGTGTGCACAGCTTGTGAACAGAAATAAAAACGTTTTATTATTTTTGTCATGTTTTTAAAAAAAAAACAGGAAACACTTTATACATGTATAAAAACCAGGTACAAACGACACACTCTAAACAAACACAACTAAATAAAAACATGATGAAAAAGGAAAAAGTGTCAGAAAGGAAAAGCTATAAATATAAAATATTCATAAGTTTTCTACAGTAAACATGATTTTTATAAAAGGCCCAGCTTTCCCCTCGTGTTGAGAAATGTTTTCTCGTGATGCTGTGAGCTCACCCTCAGAGGACGAGTTGAGGATGACTCTCAGCTGCTACCACACCTAGCTGTAGCTCAGTGTCCGTCAGACTGACTTGTTTGTAGTCGTTTAAACTTTATGAAACGTTTTAAAGTCAACACACGTTTTACTTTCTTTGTATCTCAGTCTAGTTTAAGTCAAACTAAAATAAAAGGTCAAAGTTCATGAATGTGAAGATCTTTTCCTGTGATTTGTTTCCAGGTGAGCTCAGCTCAACTGCGTCTCCCGTTTGCGTCTCTGCCTGATCTCATCATCCTCTTCCTCGCCGTGGGAATGAACGCCACCATGTCTCTCTGTACCCACGTCTTCCTCCTCCTCTTCCTCCTCCTCCTCCCGCTGCCCCCCTGCCAGCCGGAGTCCCAGCGCAGCAGGCCCAGCTTTGCTCCGGACCTGAGGACGGCCCTGCCCTCCACGCTGCCTTCGACCTTTGCTCCTGCCTCGTCTAACAGCACGCCGGCTAACGGCAGCGTGACGTGTGAGGAGGTGGCGACCTGCAGTCCGGGCATCCTGCTGCCCGTCTGGAAGCCTGACCGCCCCGGGCTCGGGTACCAGGTGACCCGAGCTGTGATCTACTTCGTGTCCCTCATGTACATGTTCCTGGGAGTGTCCATCATCGCAGATCGCTTCATGGCCTCCATAGAGGTCATCACGTCACAGGTAAGACTGGAGCAGGTTCACTGGTTTTGGCACGTTTGTCCCAGGTCACGGAGTGAAGAGGGGGAACTGGAAGTACCCTCCATCTGTCCGTGCATCTGTCTGTCCATCTGTCCGTCCATCAGTCCATCTGTCTGTCCATCTGTTCATCTGTCCGTGCATCTGTCTGTCCTTCTGTCCGTCCATCAGTCCATCTGTCTGTCCATCTGTCTGTCCATCTGTCTGTCCATCTGTCTGTCTGTCCGTCCATCAGTTCATCTGTCCGTCCATCTGACCATCTGTCTGTCCATCTGTCCGTCCATCAGTCCATCTGTCTGTCCATCTGTCCATCCATCAGTCCATCTGTCCATCCAGCTGTCTGTCCATCTGTCTTTCCATCAGTCCATCTGTCCTTCTGTCGGTCTATCAGTCCATCTGTCTGTCCATCAGTCCATCTGTCCGTCCATCTGTCAATCTGTCCATCTATCTGTCCATCTGTCCATCCATCTGTCCATCCATCTGTCCATCCATCAGTCCATCTGTCCGTCCATCTGTCCATCCATCAGTCCATCTGTCAATC